GTTTTGCTAAACCCAGCTTAAAACTGCCCCCTCGAGGGCTCTTTGCCTGTCACAGATTTAATTTGCACCATTACTGAGCTTCAGCCTAATTCCCCCACAACTATTCCAAGTATTTTAACAAGGATCACATGTTGGACATGTGTTTCCATGCCTACGTGTGTCCCACTTCAGGACAAACTCATTCCACCTCGCTCCTTGTACGGATGCAAACGAGGTGCTGGCAGGACATTCCTGTCCTGCAGATAAAAGGTGTTGGAAGCTACATCTGGATCCAGTAGCTGCCCAAAAACTGGTCCCAGTGGGTGCTAAAGCAGGACTTCATAAGCATTTATAAAAGTTATTTTCCTATCTTATTTTATTTATTTTAGGGTTGCAAATACCAAACTTGTACTTCCATAAATGTCCTAAGTTTGTTCTCATTTTTGAAAAGTATTTTAAAAAAATTGTTGTACTTATTTAGTTGATTTCTAACACTTCATTCTATTTTTTTTTTCATTCTGTCATAACCAAGTTGTTCATGACAAAGGTTTAGGCAGTACCAGGTTTTTCCTGGCACTTACTGTGACACCTTGGGAAGCAGCTGCTGCCTGTGTGGGCCTGTGGGCTCTGCTCCATCTCCCACTTTCCTCTGAGAAAAATCTCAGAGAGGTTTCTTTATTAAATCCCAGACTGGTTTGGGTTGGAAGGGACTTTAAAGCTCATCCCATTCCACCCCCTGCCATGGCAGGGACACCTTCCACCAGCCCAGGTTGCTCCAAGCCCTGTCCAACCTGGCCTTGGACACTTCCAGGGATTCAGGAGCAGCCACAGCTTCTCTGGGCACCCTGGGCCAGGGCCTCCCCACCCTCCCAGCCAGGAATTCCTTCCCAATATCCCACCTGTGATCTCCTATTTGTTATTTTGGTTGATGAAACTCTTAAGGTGGATGAGACCAAGTCTGGGAACTACAGATTCTCCTTTTGGTCACAATCAAACAAATGAAAGTGGGATAGGATGGGATTGGGTAGGATAGGACAGGACAGGACGGGACAGGACAGGATAGGATAGGACAGGACAGGATAGGATGGGATAGGATATAGGATAGGATAGGATAGGATAGGATAGGATAGGATAGGATAGGATAGGATAGAGGAAAGGATAGGATAGGATATAGGACAGGAGAGGATAGGATAGGATAAGAAAAAAGTTTCCCCTGATTTTTCAGTGGTGAATCTTCCCTTTTTCCTCAGCAGCAGAGAGCTCAATCCCACAATTGAGAAAGATAATGACAAACCCCAATAATTTTTGTGTTATTTTTACGACATTTTCTGTCCCTGGAGAAAAATCAGCGAGAGGAGCAAGAAATGATTTTCCTGGAACTGCAAACGAGCGGTGTTTCTATCAGGAGTTTGGAATTGCTTCTCTTTGAAAGAGGCTTGAAATGATTGTGATTTGATGAGATGGGAACTTGTGAAGTAGGATTAAGAACATGTCCATCCCATAAACCTGTTTTCTGTCTGAAAAGTTGGGTCCTCACAGCAAACTCTGCAACCCCCCCGTGCACGTTCTGTGGGTACGTGCGAAGCAGAACCCAGCTGAGTAGGAACTGGGTGTATTTTTGAACCCAAAGTGTTTATTCTTCCCTATTTATTCCATTTGTTCTTCCATTCAGGGAATTACTAGTGCCCAAAGGACTCACCTGTGGCATGGACCTGGATGTGGATGTGGCTGGAAAAGCCTTTGTTCCCCATCCCACTCTGTACCTGGTTTAGCTCCTTCTCCAGCAGGGCCCAACCCACAGCTCAGCCCTGGATCATTCCCTCATCGGGATCCATTCCTGCCTGGAATTCTGAAACACCAGTGACAGTGGTTCTCTTGGGCTTGTGTCAACCTGTGCCAGTGCTTTCCTGGGATTTGGACACAGGAATATGTGAGGATGCTCTTCCTTCTCCACCCTGCTTCGTCCCGTGTAAGTACATCAAACCCCTTCCCATCTCCCAGACCTTTTCCAAAATAGGCATTTCCAGAAAGAACTATTCTAAATACATATATATATATATAATTTGTTTCCTGTTCTAAATCCTAACCCCTCATCTTCTGTTGGGATGACAATTCCAAACACTTCTCCTGACAGATGGAATCTTTCGCAGGGGATATTTCGAATCAAATCTTCCATTTTAAAGTTTGGTTTGGTTTTTTTTTTTAAAGCAACAACAAAAATTGCTTTCAAGTGTTGGCAGCCAAGGGATCAATTGTAAAACCTGGCACAGAGAAATGAGCCATGGGGGTCCCATTTCCCACTGCTGGGCTTTCAAACACAAATATAAGGGATCACCAGTCCAGGTTAAACCAGAGGTGGCCGGTGGGAATTTCTGGGGAGCACAAGGATAACCAGAGACACCAGGAGCGGGGCAGGAGTGCTTGGTGGGCTGGTCTGGGGTGTCCATGGAAACCCCTCAGCTCGTGAACTGAGGAATTTATTTTTGGGTAGGACTTTTTTAAAGCCCCAAAGTGTTTCTGCAGCATGGATTTGCCCCCGGAGTGAACCGAGGGGGAATTCCTCGCAGGGAATATCGAACTGAACGACCTGTTGGTGTGTTTGGGATTCCTGGAAATCTTGGGGATTTTGGGGGGATGCTGAAATGCGGATGTTGAGCTCAGCCTGGTGGGAACAGCGGAGTGAGGGGTGGGATGGGGGGCGTTCTGGGTGTTCCTGGGATGAGCTCCCACAGCCACCGGCTCCCTCAACTTACCCGTCGGACGCCGCCGCCGCCGCCAGGACCTCCATGGCAATGCCCAGCTATGGGATTTGCAGGGTCAGCTGTGGATTCTCTCGGCCTTCACGCCCCTAAATGGCCCTCAGCACTGCTGGTTGCTATTTAACCTGGCAGAGGTGCCCTGTTTAAGGCCGGGCATCCCACGGTGGCACCGTGCACAGCCATCGGAACACGGAGTCCCTGCCCCGAAGAGAACAGCACAGGAACTGTTTTTTCTGGTGATTTAATCATAATATTGACAACTTTATCAAAAAATTACAAAACTGATATTAAAAAAATCCTCTAATTCTTAGTAAGACTAGAATGGGTTTGTTTTTTTTTTTTTTTTTCTTTCTTTCTTTTTAAAAATAGAAAAGCACTTTTTATGCTACGGCTCTTCTGGAATTCTCACATTACAACCCTACATAGCAAAATACAAATTGTAGCTAAGAAAGGTACCAGTCCTAAGGTAATTCAGTCCACCACGAGCCCTCTAATATCTCTAGACCATCAAACTCAGGGACTCCAAAAGGATATCACATCACTTAGAAACCTTCTGCAAAGCTGATTGAGGAAAGACCTTTAAATTTAAAGTTCCTTTTAACCCCTAAAACCTTAGACTGTGAGGAAAACAGACCTGGGACATCAGAGGTGGGGTGGGTTTGGGTTTTTTTTTTTTTTGCTTTTTTTTTTCTTTAATTTTCCAACTATGTGAATTTTAGTTTTGCAGCTGACACCAGCCAAAGGTTTTCTGTCAGAACACGAAGAAAATCCATTGGAATAAACGAAAAGATTTTCGCTGCTGTTCCGTTTATGGTGTTCACAAAACGCACCATAACAGAAAGAGGAATCATTTCCTTTAATTTGAATGTCATCTGAATGACTCAACCACATTGTCACCCACTCAGCAAAAAGAAAGCATAATAAATAAATAAATAAATAGACAAGAATACGTAACACTTTTACATCCTCAAGGAATCACGTCGTTCCCTAAAATCTACCGAGGTCCTGATCGACGCCGTGGGCTCGCTGCACTCAGCCACTTCACTTTGGGGTGATTGTGCCATATTAATGACAAATAAAGTGGTGTTCCACTTGCCACAATGGAGTATATTTTTTTCTTTTTTTTTTTTTTCTTTTTTTTTTTTTTTTCCCCCCTCCACCTTTTAAATATAGGAATTCTCTCTTAAATTAGAAAGTAGGCAAAAAGTACTTTTTTTTTTTTTTTAAATTTTCCTTTTTTTTAAGTCTTCTATTAGAAAAAATAGAGATTTCTTAAACAAAAAAATAATAAGGTAGAAAGAGAAGGGTTGGGCCTCCATCAAAAAAGTAGATTATGCTTTAATGCAAAGAGAAAGAAATGGCTCTATGGGCAAAATTCAAGTATGAGTGACCAGTTTTTTTAATTGTAAAGTCGGTGCAACATTTTTTGAAAATGTTACAACACTGCACGACCTGTAACGCTCACAATATTTACAGGAACTGCTTACACGGAACCAGGAAAACTCGGCAAGAGAGGAGAAAAAAATCGGTCTGGACTGAAAGCAAACTACTCCTGCCCCCCCAGCAGTGCCGTCATCCACCGAGGGAGGGAAGCGGGGCCACGGAAACACCGGGAAGTACAACACCTAAACGCTCCCAGGAGCTTGGACACAGCTCTGGGATGGGGTGGGATGGGAGGCAGCGGGGGCTCGGGGAGCCACGGAGGGACACCAGCGACCGGAGCGACGTGGGACGGAAAAACGGGAGCCACCGCACCCCAAAACAGCGGGAATGGGAACCCAGCGGAGCAGGGCCATGGAGCTGCCCCACGGAGCCGTGGGGTCCCACCCGGGCCCGAGGGGACGAGCCTGGAGGAGCCCAGAGGTAGGTGCTGCGTGCCCGGGAACGCGGGAGCCCAGCCCAGGGAATCGTCATCCTCGGGGTCATTCCTTCGGACACGCACCGGGGGACCTGGGACAGGAGCAAGGAGTTGGGATCCTGGCACCCTGGAGACCCCAGGGAGCTGAGCCCTGCCAGTCCTCGCTAGAGAGCGACACCGGGAATGCGGGGGGAAGGAATCTGAGGTAAGTGGTGATCCCGGATGAAGGACTCCACCCCGGGACTGGGAATGGTGAGCAGAACTATCCCAGGGAGCCTTGAGGATGCCACGGCTCCCCTCGCCATCCCCACCGTCCGTGGGGAAAAAGAAAAATGAAATCCAATGGAAAGAATGTTGTGCTACACTCCCGTTGGTTAAGTTTATAATGGCTCATAGCTTTAGACTTTTAAATCTGTAGTGTATTAATTTCTTCTTTTTTCTACATATGTTTCACATTTCTCACTTAATATAACATAAATAATTTGGTTAATAGATTTAACCTGCGCATTTCAGCCACATTAATATATATAAGAATCTGTTAATGGTATAAATAATTCTTTTTAAATAAAATAAATCTGATATGTTACATAATACTGATAAAAATCACTGCTGCTAATAAGTTTTGTAAGCCACCCTTAACTCCTTTTTGTGTTTCAATACCGAGGGATGGATAGCGGGATTACCTTTTCCAGAGCATTGCCCTTCCATTCTACTGCCAAACCAACTGGAACCAACACTGATCCCTTCTCAAAGCAGGGCCTCTGCCCCCCTGCAGGGTTAATGAAGTTAGACAATCTCAGCTAATTAATCCAGGGGGTCAATGTTACGGGGGGGTATCGACTGGTTAGTTCCTCAGGGGGCTCTGAAACCTCACCTACAGAAATGCTTGACTAAAACAGGCCTCCTACTGTTCCTTTGTCCTCTTCAGTCCAACCTACAGCATCCTACTGGAAAAGTTACGGAAACCAAAAGCAACCGATGGCTGCGGCCTTGGAATTCTCCATCAGAGCTGCGATCCCACATCCCATGAGGAATCTGCACTCTCTCCTGCAGGGACCTGAGTGGAGTACAGCACTTCCAGGCAAGGTTCATTCCAAACAGACAGGATCCATGAACACTCAGTGGCGTGAAGGGGATGTCATAATTAAGGTATTACATAATCATGCCTTCTCTCTGCTGTTAAATACAAAAACAGCATCTTTTACATTATCATATAAAAGCATTTAGGCTGTATTTTTATTTATCACTTTACACTGGTAGTCTCTTGTATGTGTACTCAATAGAAACCAAAGAATTTTGTACACTATTTTTTGTACAATAAAAGATAAAGTGTGCATTAGGTACGCTTGTACATGACAATATTGTACAATATTTACAGTTCAGATATCACCAGGAAATTCTGTATTATCTATATACACAAGGAAAATTTCTCAGAAACATTTGGACTATTTCTTATAATCACAATTTTTAGTATCATAGAAAAAAAAAAAAATTCAGTAATCATCTGACATTGTTACTGCAACCATTCCAGATTTCTGATTGGCTTCTCCAGCAACTTCTATCCCTCCTGATCATCCCAAATCTTGTCCCACTGCCCGGCGTGTGCCCCGCTGGCATCGAGCTGTCCCCACATAAATAGTGATGTACCAGCCTAGAGCAATACCTACAGATGGACTCAGTGTTCACAAGTACTGGACCAGTAACAAAGACATTCAATGTTATCTAGAGATCTTCCTCCTCTTGAGTTTTGGAGGCTTCACTTGTCTGTCTCCCTGTGGGATTGGGTGGACCTAAAAATAAGTATATTCACAGGTTAGCAAAGGACAGTGGGCAGGGGGGTCAATGAGCTACAGGGTTGATTAAAGGGCTGTTAGGAAACAGGGCTCAATATTCCACAGCTGCACAGAAGCCTGAACTAAAGGAACTTCGGGAATTTCGAGGAGCTGGGAGGAAAGGGTTGATGACACATCCCAAACCAGCTGCAGTGCTTGGGAAACCACATAACCAGGACCTGATGTCCAAACTGCAATTCTGTCAGATTGCCAGTGGCAAAGCTGGAGACCCTGGCAGGACAAGGGCCATGAGGTGGGAAGCAGGTGGTGAGAAAATGCTGCTGCCAGGGAAAGCCAGGGCAGTCCAGCCCAGGGCCGTGGGGTTATTAAGGAATCATCAGCAAACTCCTCGGCCCGTGCTTCAAAGGAAACAATTCTGAGCCAAGGGCTGGGCTGATCTGAGAACAAAACAGTTTTCCATCAGGAGAAACCAAGTGGGAGAGGAGGAGGAGGAAGGCTGGGGCCTGGTGTGGAATTCCACCACCATCTGTTGGCGGCAGCTGCAGCTTCCCAAGAGCAGGAATGGATCCTTTGGCACTTCCTGGGCCCTTCCCAGCTCCTCCAGCCCCCTGACGTTCCCTGCCTCTGCACTGCAGCTGAGGATCCCACACGTTTCCCAGCTCAAACTGACTGATGTCTGAGCTGTAGTAGCTGAAAAAAAATGCAAGTCACTAAAAAGAGAAGTGCTGATTCCTGGGAGTGTTTCTAGGAATGGTAATCTTTATGGAAATGAACCCCGAGCACGAGTTCCGCGCCCGGATAATTAAAATATAAATCAAGATGCTGCACTGACACTCAGGTGCATCAGTTTGGTGTGACAGAGCCACCAGCTCAGCAAATCCACTTCCAGCAGTGGCAATGCACAGCAGCTTTCAGTATTCCTGGATTTATACATGGAAAAGGTGTCAGCAGGATGGTCCAGCCCGACCCCACATCCCTGATTTAATTGTAACAGATCCACAGTCAGACCCTGCTTTCCTGGTCCTTCCCAAGACAGCAGGGAAATGCCTCTTGTTTCAAATCAAAGCTCAAATCCCAGTTTGTAAAATTCAGAAGTTTAAGCAAAATATTTGATTTTGTTATTACCCAGAGCAGCCA